AATAAAACCAAATAATTAAAATAAGGGAAATTCTCAACGGTGACCTCCCTTTTTTTTATTATACAAAATAACCCTAATTAAGACATTTATCTCACATATGACATAAATGAGTGTTATTTATTTAAAAAAAAAAACTAATTATGGTTAACTTTGAAAAAAATAAAATAAATAAAAACTAAAAATAAAAACCACCAACCCAGCCACCACCTTCACCCTCATCCCCACCAGATGCAGCCAGCCCCACCTGCCCATCTAAGCTCCCCCCGCCGGCGACACTGCTCCAAGCTCCCCCCGCCGGCGACGTTGCTCAACCTCGACCACCGCCTAGCCAGAATCCCCAACATGCCAAAGACCCTCCTTCTCTATCCTCCTCACCCCGCCACCACCTCTACCCTCTTCCTCACCTCAACCCGACATTTCCCACCAGACCAAGAACCGCACCGCCACCAAACCAAACCCACTTCTCATCCTCCCACCGCAACCCACGAACCTCCTTTTCTTTCTCCTCTGACCTCTCCTACGCCCAGATCTAAACCCGACCAACAACCGCTCCTCCAACCATAACCACGACCCTCCCTTTCTCTCTCCTCCGCTCAGACCCAAACCCGAACTCTAAACACCTCACTCTTTCTCTCTCCTATGATAACATAGCCCTTTGCCGTGGTGCAAGAGATTCGGTTGAGGTGAGGTGGTAGAGTTAGGGTTTTGATGAAGGTGGTGGTGGAGTTGGAGGTGGTGTTGTGGGTATATGGCTGGTGGTAAATATGGCTCTGGGCCGTGCCGGGTTGTGCCTCATGCCAGGCCCATGTGCTTTGGAGCAAGTTAGGCCCGACCCATGGCTCCGCCCACGAGTTTCGTTCCGTGTCGTGCCGGGCCAAAGTTTTCAAAAGGCTGGCCCGTGCACGACCCAAGCCCACGTGCCGGGCTTGCGTGCCTAAGCAAACTTACATTGATTTTAGCATGCTTTTTCGTGTCGGGCCCAGTCGTGCCGTGCCTTATTATGCTTCTCCCAAATAAAGGCGGCCCAGGCCTGGCGCACGGCCCACACGCACAGTACCGTGCCGTGCCGTGCTTTTTTCGTGCTGAGCTTCGGGGCGGCCCGGCCCAGTGCCATTTTTAGCTGGTGGTGGTTAATTTTTTAAAAATGTTTTTTTTTTATTAAAAAAAATAAATCTAACCATAGTTAATTTTAATTAACAATTTAATGAAATAAAGTTATAAGTGGGAAAAAAATTCTTAACTAGGTCATTTTGTATAATTGATTTTCATGAGGGTCACCATGTGTGCGTAGCAGAAGTTAGGGGTCACCGTTGAGAATTTCCCTTAAAATAATTAAGTCGGGGCCACAAAATATACTTACCTTAGAATATAATCTAAACCCAAATATGGATTTCTAAATTACCAAATATCAATTAGTTTTAGATTGATTCAATGCTTCCTCATCACCTATCATTAAAAAAAAAAATGAGTAAAAGTGGTTGTTGTTTATATTGGATGATGGGATGATATGGATATTTATATTACAGATCGAGTATATATTATGTATATACTTTACTTCATTTCAATTTTCCAACTTATATCTTATTTGCCATCCTATGTTTATAATTATTCAAATTAATTTTTCGGAATATTTTCTTCATTGTGTTACATAATTAAGTACAATTCAATAACCATTACACAATTCTGAAATTAATAATTACAGAAAACCACCAGAAGATGGTAGTGAATTAGCGATGTGTATAATAATGTAATCATGATACAAAATCTATCATACACGTTCTCTTAAAACTCTATAAACTAAACTAATTGACATAAAGTTTACTACATAAATTTAATGTACAGCGTATATTTAAATTCGGAAAGTTTATATTAAGACAAAAACGTCCAAAATGTTAGCTTCAACAAAATCAATCAGAAATGAAAACATTAATTAGATGCACCCAAGACTTAATCCCAACTTCCTAACTAAAGTGATGACCCTACAAAATAAACAATCGTAGAAGTCACTCAACCTCACAAGTTTGGCTTTTGGTAAACTGTTGCTACCATTTGATGATATGCCTGCATAAATAAACAACATGATGCGCGCCGACCTTCTCTGCTACGAGTAGTATTTTCTCATCCACCATTATTCTTTTATATTTTTATCCTCTTTAATTAAATTGCTATTATTTCCTAACAAAATACAAGCTAAAACTGACCTGCTGATATTGATAGTGTGAATGTGTGATGGGTATCATTATGATTGCTCTATTTTGAATTATGTACGTGTTTAGCCAAGAGCCTAACCGTCTAACGCCAATTTCATGATATTTACCCATTACGGAATACTTTGTAATTTATATGCATAACATATGTTGGTATATATATAAATTATACATACAAAGTAGTATTTATCAATTACAGTGTACTACATACTTTATATTATGTACAGCTAGATCATTAAAAAAAAAAAAATTGGCATGAGCATAGCTAGATCGATGAGTATATTGCAAAATTTGGCATGTACGTACACCACTTTAATCTCCTTAAGTTGATTAAAATGATTAATATTCAAATTCTATACAATTGAAAGCGGGTCGAAAGTGTTTACAACAATGAGTTGGAAAAAAAATAAAAAAAATATAATACTCCATTACTCCGTACAACATCATGGAAAACCCTGCCTATGCATGCAAGTGACTCCTATATATATATATTTATCATATATGAAATATGGGATATCATTAATACCAATAAAGAAATATGATGATAATAAAATATGTAAGAAATAAGCATTATTTCAATATCCTACACACCAAAAATAGATTATGCTTCTCAAAATGATGTAAATTATTATTGATCAAGTTAATATTGACCAAGTAAATCGCATTAAACACCATAAAAACTTCGAAAAAACAATTCATTTGTTGAATCCGTTTAAATAAAAAAATAAAAAAAAAGGTTGGCGATTGAAATTTTGTGATTCTATACACATACGTTGATACGTAGTCAACATTTTGGATTAAGTTGCTAATTACATTATTTAAATGTGTTTAGAGCAAATACAAAAGAAACGTGGTCCAATTTGTAAAGAGAGAATGTCATAATTTTTTCTTAAAAAAAATGTAAAGGAGAGAAATGCCTGCGCTCCACTTTCCTGGTGTGGAATGGGCAACCTTCTCCACCGTCCCGGAGTCCGCCTTCAATCAAAACTCAAAAGTTATGCAGTTTATAAAAAATCTTCTCAGCTTTTAATTAGTCCTAATTAATTTTATACCTTAATTAAATCACTACTCTTTGTACGACTTGCTTCTTTAGGTCATTTATCCGGCCTCTCTTGCTGTAAAAAATAAAAATTACAAATAAAAAAAAAAGATGAAAAAGCAATGTACATTGTACTCTTGTACATAAGGTAATTATTGCATAACAAAAATACAGTACTTCATCTGTCAAAAAAATAAAATAAAATAAAATACAGTACTTCATAAAGAGGGTGGACCAACTCTGTTCGATTTTTATATGGAGTACGTATGAAATTATATATGCGTATAAATTTAATTAGTATGTACGATCCTATTTTATAGATCGAATATTAGATACTAATACGGATATCAAATTTTATATTTTCAAATATCCTAAATTTGAAACCAAATCTTGTACTTTGTATACCATATTTTAATTTTTTTTGATGCATTATATATAGCTTAAGTGCGGCCTTAATATTTTGTAATTATAAATTAATTTAAAACAACTATAACAAATTTCTACTTGTACATAACAAATTAATACAAATATTAAATTTTTCCGTAAAAAAAAAAAAAAATTACTCATTCCATTTTTAAAAGTTAAACTCATTTAGCTCAACATATTTTCAACTGTATAAGTGAAAATTGTCTAAAAAAAGTTCCAATTTGAAAATTACATCGAGATGAATTTAATATATATCACATATTAGTATATGAATATTATCATCCATTGCAAGAATCTAATCAAGAAGCAAGATTGGGAAGTTGAAGTGAAGCACATCTATCGAGAATCAATCCAAGCGGCTGATTGGTTAGCCAATCAAGGAGTCTCCCAGAACAACAAATTTGAGTTGATTCAAGTCCCCCCCTTAGCTTTAGGGCGTATTTTACATAATGATATAATAGGTGTGGCTTTGCCACGGTGTGTACCTCCTTAGTTGTTTTAGCTTGTTTTTTCTTTCTCGGGGCTTTGCCCCTCGTATGCACCAAAAAAAAAAAAAAAGATATAATCCAAATTATTTTATTTTGGACCATATAAATAATATGTCAATGGAAATTCAAAAATTAGATGTAGTTTGTTTCATAATCAAAGTTATTGACTCCATGACCCAAACATTCCAAAACGAGAACATAAAAAGAAAAAGGAGGGATTATCATAGCGTATGTTAGGCAGTATCATTTATGTACGCATCTTATGATACCATTGACCAAAATCTTCATTGATCATAATAAGGATCTTAATATCTTATTGCATTGAAAGAGGGATCATAGATTAGAATAACTTGGGTTTTGCGTAAGCTTAGAGGACTAAAATATTCCCAAATAATTCATTAACCATGCACAAATTTTCAATATTATATGCTTGATTAGCAAAATAATGATTCCCATCAACTTCTAGAGACCCAAGGAAGAACCAACATTTTCAATAATCCCATTTAAGGCTAATTTTGTCATTTCAAATCTCATTAACCTAGTCAATATTTTTGCTACCATTAAAAAAATAAATCTAACTAAATCAAATCAAATCAAATTAGCTTAATTACCAACGTTCTTCTCAAATAATTACAATCCCATAGGATTTGGCCCAAATCTCTCAACTAAATTAAGAAATTAAATCACCCCAAAAACCAATTATTTTCATTTTTCACATAAAATACTTAAACTTTAGGACCCCTTAATAAAATATAACGTATAAATACGATTCAAGTACAATATACATATATATTGTATAGTTGGAAACCCCAAAAATACAAAAAAATAATAATATTTTTGTCAATAATTGTTTTCTTTTTCAGCGTGACAGCCCTCCAAACAGTAGAAAGCAGAGAATAAAAGGCAAAGTAAAAACAGAGGAGAGAGAAAATAAAGGTACACAGAGGATCAGTTCTGTAGTTCTAGAGAGAGAAAGTGAGAGATCCAACGGTAATGGGGTGAAAAACATGGAATCAAACTGAAGAATTCAACTCGGTTTCATTTTATTCAATTTTATTTTGGTAAGTTTTATGTAAATTTTTGATATATAGTTTTTATATTTTGTCTTGGATCATTTTGACTATTGAATGAGAAACTAAAAATCCCAACTTTTTTTTTGGATTAAGTAATTGAATTTCATAAATTTAGGATTTTTATACTTGTCATAAACTCATAATTTAATTTGGGAATTATGTTGTTGGGATTTCCCAGTTGGTTGGTGGGTTTTGGTTGAATAAGTAGCTTTAATAAAGTTGAAGTATTCAAGATGATTTCTTTTTAATGAAATAATCATGGGTCTGACCATCTGAGTATAATTTGTCCCTTTTATTTCATAAGTTTTGTTTTATGTAATTAATTCTGGAAATTTGATCTTATTGTAAAATTGGGGTTTTGGACTGTTTGTTGAATGTTCAGGTGCTTTGGAAGGGAAATTTTGGCGTGTTTTAACATAATAAGATTATTATATTTTGGCTCCGTTTGTTTTGATGGAAAACATTTTTTGAGAAATGATTTTGGTTATTATTAACCTGAGATCATTAATTTTGGTTTGCAGGTACATGTAGTTGAAGGGTACAGAACCTTGTTTTTTGTGTAGCATTTTGTGCTAAATAATTTAGGCAATTTGATCAGGCTGGCATTGTGAAATTGAGTTAGTTTTGGACTGAATTATGGCGAAAAGTAAAGACATGTATTCTTGGTGGTGGGATAGCCATATTAGCCCGAAGAATTCGAAATGGCTCAAGGAAAATCTCACAGGTATAATGTGCTTTTCCTCTGGCTTTGTTTAGTTGCAATTTTCAAGGCAATTTATGCAACTGCTTGTTAGATTATCGGTTTGCACGAAGTTGAGATTATAATTTGTTAAGTGATTGATTGAGTAGCCGTGTGATGTCAAAATGTTTGTATAATTGTATGTCTAGTGAATGGTTGGCATTATTTGATGGTAGCTGAAAAAGTCAAGTTGTTTTTTTTTTTTTTTTGTGTGTGTGTGTGTGTGTGTGCGATTGAGTCTTGAAAGTATTTTAATATCTACTCGGATTCATGTACATGTAGTACTATTGTGGTGTTTGTGTGTTGATCTGTATTTGATGTTGAGTCTGAATTTGTGAGTGTAATCATGGCATCTCAATGCTGTAACAAATTCTGCCGGTCTTAAGTGCAAAAAATTGTTTCGAATTTCCCCTTTCTAGCTATGGTAATTAACTCTTGCAATTTCTTTCTTGCAGATATGGATAGCAAAGTGAAAACAATGATTAAACTCATTGAGGTAGATGAGGACTCTTTTGCAAGGAGAGCTGAAATGTATTATAAGAAAAGGCCTGAGCTTATGAAATTAGTTGAGGAATTCTATCGTGCATACCGTGCTATGGCTGAAAGATATGATCATGCTACAGGGGTAATTCGCCAGGCTCAAAAAACTATGGCAGAACACCAAGTTCCTTTCCTTATGAATGATGATGGGCCTGTGAATGGCACTCAAGATTCCGGTCCCCACACGCCTGAAATACAGGCTCCTACACGAGCTTCATATGATCCTGATGAATTGCAGAAGGGTGCAGTGGGTTTATCGTCTGAGTCTGATACTGTAGCTGGTAGAAAGGGATCAAAGCAGCTGAATGGGTTAGGGAAGGCAAGGAAAGGTCTAAAATTTCAAGAGGCAGAGGAGAGGGAAATCGTGGAAAAGATTGAGAAGCATCTTGCTGAGACTAAAGCTTTTTCCGAATCTGAGAGATTAGGAAAATCTGAGACTGACATTCAAGCTCTAAAAGAAGCCCTTGCCAAACTAGAAGATGAGAAGGAAGCTGGCTTACATCAGTATCAGCAGACTTTAGAACGATTGTCTAAACTAGAGTCTGAAGTCTCTCAAGCCAAGGAGGATTCTCAAGGATTCAACGAACGAGCAAGCAAGGCTGAAGCTCAAGTGCAAAGCTTGAAGGAAGCCCTGGAAAAGGTAGAAGCTGAAAGGGAAGCTAGTCTGCTTCAGTATCAGCAATGCCTGGACAGGGTATCCAGCTTGGAAAGCCATATATCTCGTGTGGAAGAGGATGCTGGACAGCTTACTGAACGAGCCTGCAAAGCCGAAACAGAAGCTGAAGTGTTGAAAGAAGAGCTTTCTCGATTGAAGGCTGAAAAAGAATCTCTTCTTGCCAAGTATATGGAGTCTTTGGAGAAGATAGCCAACTTGGAGAACAAATTGTTGCTAGCTGAGGATTATGCCAGCAGGACTAGTGAGAGAGCTGACAGAGCTGAAAAAGAAGTTGAATCTTTGAGGAATACTATAACCAAATTAACCGAGGAAAAGGAAGCTGCTGTTCTTAAACATGAGCAGTGTTTGGCCAAGATAGTGACCTTGGAACGTGAAATTGTTCTCATGCAGGAAGAGGCTGAAAGGCTAAAAGCTAAGGTTGAAGACGGGGTATCGAAGTTAAAGGGAAGTGAAGAACAGTGCTATCTGTTGGATAGGTCAAATAATTCTTTGCGGTCTGAGGTGGAATCGTTGGAACGGAAAGTGGGTTTTCAGGACCAGGAGCTTTCTGAAAAGCAGAAGGAATTAGGTAGACTTTGGACATGTGTGCAGGAAGAACGCATGCGTTTTATGGAGGCTGAAACTGCTTTCCAGTCACTTCAGAATCTGCACTCGAAAGTCCAGGAGGAACTCAGGTCTGTTGCTGCTGATCTTCACAAGAATGTTCAACTTTTGAAGGACCTCGAGAATCAGAAGCAGAATTTAGAAGATGAAGTTCAGAAGGTAAAGGATGAAAACATGAGCCTCAACAACCTTAACCTCTCCTCGGCTGCTTCAATAAGAAGCATGGAAGAACAAATCTTTGATTTGAAGGAGGGTAAAGGGAAGCTTGAACAGGAACTGGAGCTTCAGCTTGATCAGAGGAATAATCTTCAGCAGGAGATTTCCTCTCTGAAGGAGGAATTAAATAGTCTGAGCCAGAGACACCAAAATATGTTGAGGCAGGTGGAGTTGGTGGGCTATGATTCAGAATCCTTTGGTTCATCTGTAAAAGAGATGCAGGATGAGAACTCAAAACTCAAAGAAAGCTTCCGGAGCAGTGAGATCGAGGTAGCTACGGTAAAGGAGAAGCTGAGGGTAATGGAAAATCTTGTTCTAAAGAATGAGCTTCTGGAGAATTCTATGTCGAATTTGAAAGCTGAGCTAGAAGCTGCAAGAAAGAGAGTGAAGGAGTTGGAGCAGTCCTTCCAGATGCTTCTTGGTGAGAAGTCTACACTTGTTGCCGAGAAAGGTTTTCTGATATCTCAGTTACAGATTACAACTGAGAATCTAGAGAAACTCTCAGAACAGAACACTTTCTTGGAGAACTCTCTTTTCGATGCCAATGCTGAACTTGAGATGTTGAGGGTAAAATCTAAAGACTTAGAAAATTCATGCAAGATCCTTGATGACCAGAATTCTGCCCTTATTGCGGAGAATCAAACATTGACATCTGAGCTGGAAACAACACACTGTAAGTTGGAAGAACTCGGTAAAAGACATGCAGACTTGGAGCAAAGATTCACAGGTTTGGAGGAAGAGAGAGAATCCACAACCCAGATGGTACAAGAACTGCAGGTATGTTTAGATACTGAAAAGCAAGAGCACACTAACTCAAACCAATTGAGTCAGACTCGGATTGCTGATTTGGAAAAGCGGATTCATCTTCTTGAAGAGGCGGGTGATCACATGAGAGAAGAGTTTGAAGAAGAATTAGATAAAGCTGTTAATGCTCAGTTTGAGATCTTCATCTTGAGGAAGAGTATACAAGATCTGAAAGACAATAATTCTTCGTTGCAGAAGTATTCTGAGAAACTTCTGGAAGCATCCAGGTTGTCTGAGGAACTCATTTCGGAACTGGAGAAGGAGAGTCTTGATAAGCAAGATGAAGTTAGTGTGTTGTCTGGTCAAGTAAAAGGATTGAGAATGGGGATTTTTCATTTGTTAGATGCACTGGAATCTGATGTAGGTTCAACACTTGATGACTGCGGCAATGAGGATGAAAGAGTTGTGAACCTTATACATGGAAAACTAGATGATATAAAAGCATCTCTGTATAAAGCCTGGGATGAAAATCAAGAACATGTAATACAGAAGTCTGTTTTCCTTGCAATGATTTGGCATCTTAAACAAGATATGGCAGATTTAAATGCTGTTACACACTCCCTCAGGCAGGAGGTTGAAAGCAGGAACCAGGAAGTAAATCAACTCCAGAAGGAGATACAGAAGCTTTTGGAGAGTAATGAAGAGTTAATTCTCAAAGTTAGGGAGGGAAGTCAGAAAGAAGTTGTTCTTCTCACTGAAATGGAAGATCTCCGGGAGAAGCTGTTTAATCTCCAGGAGGCTTATGATGATCTACAGAAAGAGAATTGCAAGGTCATCGAGGAAAAGGGATTTTTGATGAAGGCATTTGAAGATTTGGAGGAGGAGAAGCACAACCTACAGGATGAGTGCTCTTGTATGGTTGGGGAGGTAGTTGCGCTGGACAACCTGTCATTTATTTTCAAGAATGTCATCTCTGAGAAATCAAAGAAAGTCATACAATTGACTGGGCATATTGAAAAGCTTTGCAGTGACAATAGTATTCTCGAGGAGAAAGTGCAAATAGTAGAGAGGAAACTGGAGGATGCTCGTAGTAAAAATATCAATTTTGAGCTCTCATTGAAGAAGTCAGAGAATGAACTGAAAGAAGTGAGAGTTTCAAATGATAGGTTGAAGGATGAAATATCTAACGAAAAGATTCTTTTTTGCTTGAAAGAAAAGGAGCTTCTGGAAGCAGAGTCAATGAAAGAGAATCGGGATATCCAATTACTTGAATTGTCCAAGAATTATGCTGAACAACTGAGAGAATGTGAAGACCTTCATGAACTTATTGAATATCTGGATTCACAGATTTCTAAAATGCAGAAGGAGCATGAAGATAGTGAAGCAAGAATCCGAGTTCTGAGCTCTGAATTACAGAAGGGAAAAGACGAAGTCAAACTATGGGAGACTGTCGCAGGCACTTTTTTCACTGAGCTACAAAGCTCCAGTGTACGTGAAGCATTGATCAAAGAAAAGTTCTCTGAGCTTCTGAAGGCTTATGAAATCCTTGAAGAAGAAAGTTATTCCAAATGTGTAGATGTTGTTCAGTTGAAAGAAAGAGTTGGGACCCTGGAAGGTGAAAATTCTGAAATAAAGGCTCGATTGGCTGCTGATCTCTCGGCCATTATGTCCCTGAAGGATTCCTTGGCGTCTCTTGAGAAGCATGCTAATTGGCACAAGAAGATTCACAAAACTGACGACGAGGAGAAAGAGGTATTTTTTATGTCTAATTAAAAAATCACCTATTAATCTAAATGTTATTAATGTTTATGCTGAGAATTTCCCCTCCCTTGGTGCACGCATTGTTAATAGTTGCATACTTGAAAAATGAGTGGATTGTTATGAGAATAGTGTCATTGCAGAATCCAATTTCGCATATCTGTGTTGATAATAAAGGTAGTATTTGTGAGAGGAAATTTGTCACCACATATGTACAGATCTCCATTGCAAGTCACTTCTACCAAACATTGTGTGTGTGTGTGTGTGTGTTTTTTTTTTTTTAATTATTATTATTATTATTATTATTATTTAAGCTATGATAACATGTCAATATTTCCAGTGAAAATCTCATTTCAGTGATAAATTCATTGTTTTTATTTGAGGAGGTGGTATGTTTTTGTGGACTTTTCTGTTGCCAACCTAGTTTAGTACTGTTGCCGTGGTTGTATCTTTTTATATTTCTTTCTTTTGCCTGCCTTTTGTGTTGTTTGAACTTTGAACTCATCTAACTGTTTACAGTGATTAGCTATTTTTATTTATGATTTCTCTAAGAGAACTATCATAAACTATTTAGCTATTGAATTGTTGCTCACATTGTTCATGTTTATAGGGTGTTGAAAACAATGAAAACCAGAATGAAGATCAGACAGCTGTGTTTGTGAACTTGCATGACATTCAGGCCAAGGTCCAAGATGTGGAAAAGGCAGTTATAGAGCTGAAGCAGCAAGCAGAAGAGGAAAACTCTGGTGTCCGTTCTGAGCTTGACTCAGCACTGCGACAAATCGAGGCACTAAAATCTCAAAGCAGCTCACGCCGTGGGAGTGGAAGATTAAGTAGGCGTGTTGCATCACATCCAGATGAAACAAAGTCCCGAAAAACAAATCCTGATGTCTCACCTCCAGAGGAGGAGCTTCTGATGAAAGACATTATGCTTGATCAGGTATCGGATTGTTCATCCTATGGGAAAAACAGAAAAGTGACAGGGTCCAATGATCAAATTCTCGAGTTATGGGAAACCATTGACCAAGCAGGCAGCATTGATCTCACAGTGGGGAAGCACAGCAGAGCAGCTCCTGCTGTTTCCAACAAGTATTCTCACCTCGACTCTGTAAAAGAGAGCAGGAGTGGTCGTCCCTCAATAGAGTCAATGGTGGAGAAGGAGTTAAGAGTGGATGATCAGCAATTGACTTCGAAGAGATTTATGAATCCCGAGCAGGAGGATAACAAGAGGAAGACCCTAGAGAGGCTTGCTTCTGATGTTCAAAAGCTAACCAACCTTCAGATAACAGTGCAAGATCTGAAGGAGAAGTTGGAAATGACTGAAAACAACTCCAGCAAGGGAAAGGGTATTGAATGTGATAATGTCAAGGATCAACTCTTGGAAAGTGAGAATACAATCCTAAAGTTGTTCGAGTACAGTGCAAAACTAATGAAGAACATTGAAAATTCCTCAACAGCATCGTCTTTTGATGGATCAGTTACGGCTGATTCATCAGAAGGTGGGGGTGGTAAGAGAAGGAGATGCTTGGAGCAAGCACGGAGGATATCAGAGAAGATTGGTAGGTTGCAGCTTGAAGTGCAGAAGTTACAGTTTCTTCTAATGAAACTTGACAATAACAAAGTAGGCAAAGGTGGGACCCGAGTAAGTGAACGCAGTACGAGAGTCCTCCTACGAGACTATCTCTATGGAGGAACTCGGACCCCGCGCAGGCGGAAGAGAACTCATTTCTGTGGATGTGTGCAGCCTCACACCAGAGGAGACTGAGGTTGGTGAGGTGTTTAGAAATTCGATCAGTTTTAGCTTTTCTTGTAATTTTTTCGCCTAATCTTTTAGAACCTGTTGACTTGCATATATTCTCTTTATTTTTATGGGAAAGAGAATCTGGTGTACAATATACATGCTAGGCTTTGTTTAGGGCTTTAATCTTGCAACAAGTTAATGCATTTAGGAAGTTAGTTTTTCCCATGATTAAATAATCAATTTCTACATCTCAGAGCAATTCTCAAGTCTCTTTTTGCTTCACATTACTATTGCCTCCGTTCTAAAATGTGACCTCTCATAACTTAGAACATGAGCTGTACTACGCATCTATGCAGGAGAAATTGATGAACTTGTAGATGCAACCGGTTGCATTAAATATTCTAGACAATCAGTGTTGGTTTGTTATATTTGTAGTACTGTTTTAAAGTTGTAAGCTTTTATTGTGAACATCGATTAAAAATAACAATTTATGAGGTAACTATTAAGCTTACTTTGAAAGACAGGGTATCATGTTCCGAAACTGGAACCTAGCGGTTCCCATTTTTTAGGAACCTGCTGAATAGGTTTCGGTGGGTCCTGAGGTTTTTACAGGGTACCCTGCTACGCTCATCCCTAGTAAAAAGTGTGACTTTGATTTTTACGGCATAATTAAAATTTTATTATTTTATTAACTACTAGCAAAAATACAAAAACATAGATTAGAGGAATATTATTTCTAGATTGTTTGTAAATAAACGTGTAGTTGGCTTAGTTCCAAGTTGTATTATTGTCATCTCTAAAGAGAAGTAAAGTCTAGAGATGTTGATTAATAAATAAAGTCGTTTAACCCATCTTCAAAGAGAAGTCAAGTCTCTGTTTTGTTCTTTTCTTTTCTTGTTTAGATGGTTTCGTTTTGAATGTTTTGTGACAAATGCTACGCCCCGTCTTCCTCAGGTTCAACCAAGTGACCGTCTATTGTTATAAAAGCCACTCTCATCTCTTTGCTATAAAAATATAGTGGTGGGGACTATCAATCAATTTGTTTTGCAAGTAGACATGTACTACCTTCAAATGCACGATGGAATCAATAAGTTAGTACGTCAAGTTAGCGAATAAAAACACAAGTCTTGCATAGACATCATACTACTATACAATTAATTAGTAACGTTGCAATGCTCAAAATTTGCTACTCGTATATGCTAATCATTGTTTGGAAGATAAATTAATAATGACTCAGATAACTACTATTGATAATGAATTCACCTTATATTTCTTTGCTCATCTTTTCTTCTAATTATGTATTCTTTCTTGCTTCCCTTGGCTAATTATATATATAGGAAGAAATAATCAATAATGTTGACTGGTTTAGAGAAAAAGGAAGAAAAAAAAAAAAAACTAAAGATGTCCTTGTTTTAAGGACATTGTAGCGAGTTTACCACACACAGAAGAATCTTATGCCTCCTTTGCTTATCTGGTCCAAAGGCGCAATAAGGTGAAAGTGTTAGTGTTGGGGGGTTTGCATTAGCCTCAGTCTGACTTACTTTAGGCACCTTCAGTTAATTCACTCATAAGTCGTAACAGCTCCTTTTTTCGCCTTGATCATCTTCGACTAATCAGTTTGTTTTGCAAGTAGAAATACAAGTTGTTAATGAATAACAACATACAAATCTTTGGGAAGCAATTATTTCTGGTTCCCGCGGCCCAAAATGAAGCAATGTTGACTAGTTCATAACAAATAATTCTTTAATCTCGCTACAAGTTACTGCAGTTAATTAGGAAGCTATAGTTTTCCCCATGATTAAATAATCGAACTCTGTACCTCATCAGTTTGCATTGTGCATTAAGTAGTTAATCAAAGCATTTTCCTCTTTTTTATTTTTTATTTTCCTCTAGTAAGTAAAGGCGTAACTAAAGATATGGCTTGTGTTTTATACGTGCACTAAGCTAGATTACTGGTGCATTTTCCAAGATATATACCTGTTGTGTTCTGGACTCCTATGACATTTTATCTTAACTTATTCCTAGCATTATAGTGGTAATTATGTTATCTATTTTGTTTCTATCATTAATTATATATGTCTTCAATATGTACCATTAGCGCAAATTCGGTACAAATTGCCTAGATTTCTTTAAGATTTGATTCCCAATTTTTGCAAAGTAGTTTTCTAAGGTCGCTTACTATTTATTGGAGAGTAGGGATGGCAACGGGTTGGATTCGGAGCGGATTATGCTAAATCCGACTCCAACCCTATAGGAAGTCGGAGGCTAAATTTGACTCCGACTCCGACTCCGACATCCGCCTCCGAGACTTCGATTCGATCCGACTACAATATTCTACCTCCGACTTCGACTCCGATTCGACCCGACTCTGAGCTATTTTTGGTTATTTAATATTTTGAGAATTGGGCTATTTGGGCCTTTGCAGCCCACACCCACACCCACTGCCACCACGACTCACCCAAATCCACAGTCCATTAGAGTCGAAGTCGGATAATCCGTCAGCGTCGGATATTTGTCAAAGTCGGATTTTTTGTAGGACTTGACTTCAACCCCCCTCCAACTCAGAGTCAGATTATTACAATGGAGTTGGACTCGGAGCGGATTTTTTTCCTCGAATCGGGGCAGAGTAAGGTCGGATCCGGACTAGATTGTCATCCCTATTAAAGAGGCTAGGTTTGGAATTCTTACTATTAGCTATGTCACAATGCTCAAAATTCAAGTTTAATTTAGGAAAATGGAGACTTGATCACTTGGTTGCTCAAGCTAAACCAACTGAGTAGCTGACTACACCCTACTGAGTGAGTTATGACTACTAAAGCTTTCTTGATAAAAAAAAAAATTCACGAATTTCTTGCATATCATTCAGTTCATGTGTTTGGATATTCTTGAAATTCAGCTTGCAGGATTAAACTTACGGTGTAAGAAATACTGGTACGTCGATGAATAAAAACATGAATCTACACGCGTCATAAAGCTTGCCAACTCCGTATTTGAACAAACACTATTTGCCCATTGACAAGGATTGAACATTGTTAGAAAATTCGATGCCCTGTTCTTCAGGTTTGTCTCTTTTGATGAATCAGAAACTATGTTATTACTAGCTAATTTGGATTGCAGAATTTTTTTGGCATTTGGAAAACTATCATCATTGGTTCCCAAAGGTAAACAATATTGACTTTAGTGCAAAGGATGCCCAAAATTTCAGTATCTATCAACTTTGCTCTCTAGCTAGCAGAGTAGCAGGGGATGATCTACATTGTTTGACCCCGTAACTTTTTATGCGATTAGAATATATAGAAGGAATATTGTGAGAGGAGATATATTTACAAATTTATCTCAGAGATCAACTTGAATTTTTCCGGAATATATTGCCTTAAATATGGATAGAAAAAACTATCTCAAAAAGTACAAGCATACATGAGTAGCTAATGATGAAGCCTAGATAGTACTCTTACTTTCTTTGCATATATTAGTGGAAATTAAAGTAAGATTAATTAGAGGATTAACATTTCTAGAATCTTTGTAAATAAACGTCTGGTTTGTGTTACTCCAACTTGTACAATTGTCATCTTCAAAGAGAATGAAGTCAAGTCTGTATTTTGTTCTTTCCTTTTCTTCTCTAGATGGTTTCGTTTTTAAAGTTTTATGACAAATGCAATGTCCCGTCTTCCTCGCTAGTAGACTTGTCGATTGTGATCCTTAGCTTCAACCAAGTGATAGTCTATGGCTATAAAAGCCACTCACATCATTTCTTTTGTTATGTGCCAGTAAAAAAATTCCTCTTTCACAAATCAGAAAAACAGATATACACTTTCCTTAATTAAAAAAAAAAACATTTAAATCACAATGGGTTTGGGACGCTTTACATACATACTTCTTTTAGTTTTTACTTTTTCAATACTAATTTTCGATTTTTTCGTGGTCGCTAATTCTAACCAGCCTTCCTTGCAGCAATCGAAGCCATTGTGCCATGACCAAGAGAAGATTGCATTGCTTCATTTTAAGCAAAGCTTTCTTCTTGATTGCTCCACGTCATCATTTTCTGATTTCGCATATCCAAAGGTGAAATCATGGCATGATGAATTAGATATTCATCATCCGGAAAATGCCACTGTAAGTGGTGATTGCTGTAGGTGGGATGGTGTCAAGTGCAATGAGGAGACGGGTCACGTGATTAGCCTTAACCTTAGTAGCAGTTGCCTTTACGGCACCTTCCCCCGTAACAGCACACTCTTCAGCCTTAATCATCTCCGTGAGCTTGATCTTTCTTTTAATAACTTCAATTATTCTCAAATCCCCTCTGACATTGGTCATCTATACAAGCTCACACACCTCAACCTCTCCTATTCAGTTTTAAGTGGTCAAATTCCACCAGAAATTTCAAAACTGTCAAGCCTATCTCTTCTTGATCTTTCCTTTAATGGAGATCGGCCTACACGTGTTAATGAGAAGTTAAATCTGAAACTTAATGATTTGAGTCTAGAGAAGTTGGTCTATAATTTAAGTCGTTTAACTCATCTTCATCTAGACTTAGTTGACGTATCGTCTGAGGTACCCCTTAGCTTAAGCAACCGAACTTCCCTAAAAGCTATCTCCCTCCCTTTCTGCAATCTATTGGGTGAATTGCCACAAAGTATTTTCTGGCTACCAAAACTTGAAGAAATTTGGTTGGGTTTCAATTCTAAATTAGGAGGATATCTTCCTGATTTTCATTCTAATAGTCCTCTTCGTGCTTTAAGTCTATGGGAAACAAAATTTTCAGGGGAATTGCCAGATTCACTTGGAAATCTGGTTTTCTTGAATATTATGATTCTGGAAGATTGTGAATTCTCTGGAAAAATTCCATCCTCAATAGGTAATTTGACAGACCTTACCATACTCGGCCTTGCTGGCAATTATTTTAGTGAGCTCCCTCACTCTATCATGAACCTAACACGTCTTACTTCTTTATCCCTTTCAAACATGATGAATGTTGAGACTGCTGGAATATTGAATTCTTGGTTGCTTAAGCTAAATTTTATCACTCATCTATACCTTCCCCATATGAATTTAGGAAATGAATTTTTTCCTACTCTGTCTAACTTTACCAGACTCTATGATTTGGAGCTTAGCAACAACTTGTTAACAGGCCCACTTCCAAGTTGGCTCATGAATCTAACCCAATTAGAATCCTTAGACCTATATATATGGTAATCAGTTGCAAGGTCCAATCCCACCCTGGATTTCTAACCTTAATAATCTTGACTCATTGTGTTTGTCTTTCAAGGGCACAGTTGACAAGTTTGATCCATTTTTCATGCTCCCAAATCTTCAATTATTAGTATTGACTGGTGTTGGCCTCACATTTCCTCAAAATATAAGCATCAATTCATCTCTTTTTAAGTTGCAGAGTTTGCATCTAGAATCATGCAACTTCACTGAATTCCCAAAATTCTTACGTTATCAAGACAAGTTAAGCGAACTGTCTCTTTGGGGAAACAACATCACGGGAAATATCCCAGAATGGTTTGTGAACACAACTAGGGAAAATCTGTTGTTCTTAAACTTGTCGAATAACATTTTAACAAGTTTCGAACAACCTTTGAATTTTCTCCCATGGAATAATTTGAAAGTGCTAGATCTCAGTGATAATAAGTTGCGAGGGCCACTTCCAACTCCTCCAAGTTCCATGCTTGTTTATCAAGTCTCAAATAATCACTTCCATGGAGTTCTTCCCCATCATATATGCCGTGCAACTTCTTTAGTCTACCTCGACTTATCTGAAAACAATCTTATGGGCGAGATTCCAAGCTGCATTGGTCGTCAACTTAGTGGTTCCTTACAAGTTTTAAATGCACGAGGCAATAAATTTGGTGGTGTCATTCCCCAAACATTCTCAAAATCCTGTAAATTGAAAGTGATTAATTTGAGCCAAAATCAATTAGAGGGCAAGCTCCCAAAGTCATTAGTCAATTGTACTTTGCTTGAGGTACTTGATGTCGGAAGCAATCGTATTAATGACACCTTTCCATCATGGTTAGGAAGTATGCCCATGTTGCAAGTTCTTATCTTGAGGCATAACAACATCTACGGGAAGATAGCAACCCCATTCCCTAGTTCAGTTGGTAATGGTTTTCATAGGCTGCGTATAATTGATTTGTCGTATAATTATCTTATCGGTAACTTGCCATCTGGGTATTTTCAAAAATGGGTTGCAATGACAGATTCAATTGAAAACTCCTCAAACTCATCTAGTTCTTATTTTCTAATGTATTTTTTTAGTCGTAGTCAATTTTGGACTTATGGTGAGAAATACAATTATGTTGTCACCATAACAAATAAGGGGAGTGAAACAGTTTACCCAAAGATATTAACCATATTGCGAGTCCTTGATTTGTCAAGCAACAAGTTTACGGGTATAATCCCTAAGGATATTGGGAACCTTAGGGGACTTCAGGCACTTAATCTGTCCAACAACAATCTTGTTGGCGGTATCCCATCTTCTCTAGCCAACATTACAAACCTCGAGTCCTTAGACCTTTCTGAAAACATGCTTTCAGGACTGATCCCTCGAGAGTTGACAGTGCTAAACTTTCTTGAGGTCTTCAATGTTTCACATAATCGTCTAGTTAGAGCAATACCTGAAGGAGAACAGTTCAATACTTTTGACAATAGTTCTTTTGCTGGGAACTTGGCATTGTGAAGAGATCAACACAAAGATTCAGGAGAAATTGATGAAAAAGCTGCGCTATACATGCAGGCTTTCATACCTGTTCTAAGAACCAAGTATAATTACTTCAGTTTATGTCTAGGCTTTTTCATTTGTTGTTGTATAATTTCTGTTTTTATGGTTTTGTTTCCCAGTAGCTTGTATTTTTAGCTAATGTCTATCTTATGTATTATCCAGTGTTATATCATGTTATTCATGTAATATATTGCTAGCTATATGAATGAGATAACACCCTATGAGACGAGAGTTGCTCATAGAGGTTTCCCTAGTGTTTTGCATGATGTGAGCTTTATATCTTATTTGCGGATCAAAATATTGCTTTTTAAAAGAATGAAGTATGCTAGAAAACAATATGAGAAAATACAGACTGATAAAAAAAAAAAAAAAAAAAAAACCCTTACTCGAGCAATTTATATATCCAACACTTACAAAGTTACAAGAGTAGGGCTACTTCACCATGAAGTAATCTGACCTTAGCACGATTGCAAATGCACCGCCATTAAAGACACATCATGCCAAACTTATAACTGTCATCCTGAAAATCCACCACCTCATCATCCTTAATGCATTTCCAACCTCCACGTGACACTTCTCACCTTCTTCAAAACCACTTTACTATGTACTACTATACTAGCAATAAGTAATTAAACCACTTGAAAAAAACTTACTTACAAAAAACTTTGAGAAAATAAATTGAAAGCAAAGCATGGGAAGCAAGTAACAAAGAAGAAAGCAAGATGATGAAAGTGTTAGGAAGCAAGAAGAAGATGAGAAGAAGCACGACAATGACCACGACCATGACCATGATCTTCCATCGATGGCACTGAACCATGTGTCAAGACTATGTAGATCAGTGGAAGATTCATTAGAGTTTTACACCAAAGTTTTGGGGTTTGTAAAAATTGAGAGGCCTCAAGCTTTTAATTTCGACGGGGCTTGGCTTTTTAATTATGGTGTTGGTATTCATTTGGTTCAGTCTAAGGATGAAGATCGTTTGCCTTCGGATAAGACGGCCTTAGACCCCATGGACAACCACATCTCCTTTCAGGTATCGTACGTACCTTTTGACATCTTTAATTATTCTAGTCGGGGGAGGATCTTTATTCAGACTCATAGCGCCATAGTGGCCTAAGACCTATTAAACATAATAATACGTACTCTCTCTGTTTTTAAATACTTGCTCCATTTTTTCATGCGCGAAGTTTTAAGAGAAATTGGAGAAAGTAATAGAATACAGAGGTACTGGGGTAGATGGAAGAATAAAAACTTATAAAAAGTAAAAGTAGTTCAGAGAAATGGAGGAGAAATAATATAAAATTAATAAAATATAATTAATGTTAGGTCCACTAGTTGAGAGAAATGTATTATTAAATATTGTAAAAAAAATTAAGAAAATGGAGCAAGTATTTAAAAACGGCCGCAAATGAAAAGTGGGATAAGTATTTAAAAACGGAGGGAGTAGTATATTGTTTTAATATAATTATGAATATAAAATGTTGATTTCACAATAGTTAATAAGTTGTACTTTTAACTAGTTTCAAGTTTTAGACCTCCTGTACTTTTTGGTCCAAGATCCGACACTGATTATTTTGAGTGATGAGTTATTCGATTCAATTTTATGTCGGTGTTTTTATCTAATTATTATGAGTCATCTAATTAATTTTCCAATGCGGAGTATGTAGTGTGAAGATATGGAGGCAATAGAGCAAAGACTAAAGGAATACAATGTCAAGTACATGAAAAGAACGGTGGATGACGAAGAGAACAAGACGTCGATCGATCAGCTATTCTTCAATGATCCAGACGGATTTATGATAGAGATGTGTAATTGTGAGAATCTAAAGCTTGTACCAGCAGGGTCAATGGGTAAGATTAAGCTCCCTTGTGATCGTCATAATCCTCCTATTCAGCTTCGCAAAGATGATAATGCTACAAATTAAAGGAGATTTTGACTTTATTTTAGCAGAAAATGGGTTGATTTGAAGTTGGAGCAACTTGTTTTTTATTTTTATTAAGAAGCAAGGTTCATTGTTTCATTTCCTTTCAATTTTGTCAAAGGAAAGGAATATGTGTTTCTTAATCGTATCTCATTTGTTGGTTTCATGATGTTTATAAAACAAGTTAAGTTGTTTTGGTATTCAATTCTTTTCCCATTTTTGGGATTAAAGCTTTGATTGTTAGTATTTTGGTATTTCATTATTTGATGTTTACCCCTTACTTCAGCTAGATGTAGCTATCAAATTATACTTGGATCTTGATAATGAATTCTGGAGGAAAGAATTGGTTTGCATCAAATTGATATATTAGGGTACGTACTTATGGTCCTCATAGTGGTACGAGGTTATAATCAAGAACGAAACTAGGATGACATGAATTTGGAAGTTGATATTTATACATATTATATCCTATATTATTTTAACATATTAAAAAGATTACACCATTTACCTTTATAGTGCATATGACGGGGATTTTATGGACAAGATAATTATTAGATAGGGTCAATGCGGGTCAATAATATATCCCAAAACAATTTTGAAAAGTAAAATTTTGAAAAAATGAGCATACAGGGCAACAAACATCAAAACTAAAAAAAGCTAGCAAAAAATAAAAAGAATAAAAAACACGTTGAAAAAGTCATGGGTCATGCACAGGAAAAAAAGACAAACGGGATCAAAAGAGAATGAACAAATGTACTTGTATGATGTTGGCACGCTCTAAATACGAACAATGAAGTCAAAGAAATATGGTGTTGGCACACTCTTTCAGGATGTAAAAGTAAAAGTCATCACTCCAAAGTCCTAATAAGCAACTAAGCAATACTCAACAATAAGCAACTGAGCAAGAAATCAAACCAACATGCATAATACAACAGCTTAAAACATATCAGATGCTGCAATCGCAGATAGTCAAGTTACATTCTTCTCTATTTCAAAATATACAGAATACCCTTTCGAAGGGGCTCAAGATTCCTCTTCATAACCCAAGTCATGGTGACCAGGAATATCAATATCCGAGAGCAATTTATCACCACAATAAATCATAATATTGTGGTGTAAAAACAAGCTATGACAATGCTAGCAGCTTACTCTTGTCATGCCTCCACATGACCTTACTAAGAATTCTCCAACATCCCTTTAAAAGAAATAATTCCCTCACTCAAGGTATTTCGCGGCCTCATGTGCCTTCCTGTATTTTGAGTTAATGGACAAAGAGTCCTGATTTTCATAAGGAATCTTGAGCCATGGAAGAAGAGGGTATTAAACCACATCACCAATGTACTCTGATCTCTACATCATCTAACCTCAATTTTTTTACTTAATCGCTCGCCATTTACTTCTATACAATCTTGAGTATTTTGAAATTTTGAAGTTTTGGCTAACGCGAGCCAGGTAATAGTTACAAAGTTCAGAATTGTACATGTAGCCCTACAGTCTATGAACAAGAAGTTAATTGTTTAACATTGGAAACACAACAATTTTAATAATACCAAACAAGTTCATAATTCTCTCATAAATTCCAAACTTAATTCACTTCAAGGAAACATATTTACAGCTCATGATTAGCCGTTTAGCCTTATGAATAAAAAAAAAATCAATAATGTAAATCAATTCAGAGAATACTTTAGAGAAAAACGTACTTGTGATTTTCGCAAGAACCAGGGTTTTTGACAGAAACATTACTTAAACTACTTCTACCAAAAATTAATTAGCTAAATGTAAAAATGTAAGTATCCCTTCAAACATCTTAGGAATGCAGCCCTGCCGCTGTCAAATTTATCTTCATCTCCATGAAACATAAGAATTAAGACAAGATATTTCTTACCTCTGTATTAGATGTTCAAGTTTGATCCTCTAACAGCAACAACTTCCCATGTCAAACATTACTGCTACCATCATTCCTGAAGCAAACCAAATAGATTTATTACACAGACATCTGCATCATTCTAGCCTGCATTGGTAGATTATACGTCGTAGCAGCATAAAATAAGTTCCACAGTATATCATTGAAAAAAATATAAGTCAGTACTATTGATCCTAATGCAGAGTAATTTGCACATTCTTTTTTCTTTGGTGCCTTTTACTTTTAGTACATGATTAACAACTCCCATCTCTATCACTTTTCTCGAGGACTTCTCCGACTAACCTAGCTAAAAACAAACGGTCTAACCCTTTATCAATATTCATTACGAAAACTAAGAATTGTCCATTGTTGGCCCTCTAGCTCCTATACCAATTTCACTAGTTACTCCCTCCATTTCACATTATTTTACGACACACTTAACTAAATTTTGATTTTCCATATATTTGTCAGTTCAAGTATCAGTGCATCATAAGTTGTTCGATAAAATAATCAATGTGTTATAAATTGTTAATTCAGATACCAATTTAATCACTAACACAGTAACACCTCTTAAAATATTCTGTATACTCTTAGTCTTAGATGAAAATAACATAGATTAAAGGGAATTTAACCATGTATGGTTGTTACTTATTTAGTTCTCACTTCCCAGAGAGGCTCATCACAAACAAATTAACGAATTTTATCGTAAATACTAAAAAAAAAAAAAAACACTTCATAACAAATTTAATTTTATCAACAATTATTGTAATCAATAACCAAGAAAAATCAAACAGCCAATTAAACTACTCCATATATGCTTCACCAAAGAAAAAAGTCAAACAAAAAGAAAGTTCAAATTCAAATTGATAAAGACAACAGTTAGGTCAGGTACTATATCCACCATAAATTTCCAGGTCTTTACAAAGACTTTTTATGCTTTTCTCTCACCATCTCATCAATCATATATCTTTCTCCATCCCTAATCTGTAACTTTTTATTCTCTTAAGTATGCTTTTCTTGTTTTCATATTCCCAGAAGTCGGCAGTTCACTAGTGCTTACAAATTCTTCAGCAATCTGTTAAAAATGCTGACTTCAAAATGTCCCCTCAGAAACTAGGCAAGTGTGAAAAATCTGAGGTTATACCTTCAAATTTCCTAGAACATTCAAAGAACATCCTTAAAAAATAGAATGAATTCACATTCAGTCAGAAATTTTTTGTACCCACAATCTCCAAAGCAGATACCAAAAATTCAATAACTTCTTTGATCAGCAAAGAAAACCATGCCTTCTCCTGTCTATAAAACAAACCTTTTTGCTTACTTCTTCTTTCTAAACAAACAAGAACCTATAAGTAAAAGTTGCATCATAATAACACTATGTTCATGTGTTATTTGTCATGCATTTACATTCTTTTCTTAGTTCCAGTATGTTCCTATGCCATTAAACTAAACAATCTTGTGTCCTCTTCGCGGCCATCATGTGCTGATCATGAAAGATTGGCATTGCAGCAGTTCAGGCAGAGTTTCCTGATAAACTGCGCTGTTTCTGATTCTGCATATCCAAAGGTGAAATCATGGTCAGGTGAGCTAACAAGGGATTGTTGTATGTGGGATGGTGTTGAGTGCGAGGAGGAGACAGGTCATGTGACAGGGCTCGACCTCAGTAGCAGCTGTCTTTATGGAAATTTTCCTCCTAACAGCACCCTTTTCAGCCTCATTCATCTTAAGAAGCTTAATCTTGCCTTTAATGATTTTAACTACTCTCTCATTCCCTCTAAAATCGGCCAAATTAACAAGCTACAAAATCTTAATCTCTCCAATTCATCATTTAGCGGCCAAATCCCATCTGAAATCTCAAAATTATCACAGCTTAATACCCTTGATCTTTCCAACAATGGTGATTCTTTAGCTAACAGCCAACTTAATTTGAAACTTCAAGGTCGGGGTCTTGAGAAGTTACTCAGAAACCTAACTCGTATACAGAAACTCTATCTTGATATGGTTGACTTATCTACTAAAGTTCCAATCATCCTCACAAATCTAACCTCTCTAAAAGCTATTTCCCTCCAATACTGTAACTTGTATGGAGAACTGCCAACAAGTCTTTTCAAATTGCCAAAACTTGAATTCCTTTACCTGAGTGGCAACAGAGATCTAGCAGGATTTTTGCCTCAGTTTCAATCAACTAACCCTCTCAAAGAGCTGTATCTATTTGGCACAGCTTTTTCAGGAGAAGTGCCACCTTCAATTGGAAATCTTGCTCATTTGGAACAACTCGACCTATGTGGTTGTTATTTCTCAGGATCACTTCCATCTTCTCTGGCTAACATGACAAAACTTGCCGTTTTACTCTTAAGTCGCAATAACTTAGGTGAAGTCCCCTTCTCTATCACAAATCTTACCAACCTCGAAGCTTTAGATTTCTCAAATCTCGAATTCAGGCCACAAGACTTGTTTATGCAGTTGTCCAAGCTACACAATCTCAGTTACCTACGCCTTGCTGAGATGAAACTAGCTACTGAGATACCTCCTTTTATTGCAAACTTTACAAAACTTAATTATCTAGATCTTGCATCATCTCAGATAATAGGTCCATTTCAACAATGGTTTGCAAACCTAACCAAGCTAAGGCAACTGTATCTAGAGAACAATCAATTAGAGGGTCCAATACCACAATGGTTTTCTCAGTTTACCAACCTTCAATCTATAGACTTGTCTTACAACAACTTGTTTGGCAAATTCGAAATTTTTTTTCATCTAAAGAATCTTCGTAATCTAGCTTTATCTCAACTCAACCTAACATTTCCTAGTTCTACGACCAATTCATCTCTTCCAAAGCTCAAGCTCTTAGAACTTGAATTTTGCAACTTGACCGATTTTCCACAATTCCTACAGTATCAAAATGAGCTGCAATCACTATCACTCAAAGGAAACAAAATCAAGGGTAATTACCACAATGGTTGGTGAATACAACTAAAGAGAATCTCCTTAAAATTGATCTTTCCCAGAATAATTTGACAGGCTTTGAAAAGCCTGCAGCAGAACTTCCATGGACCCATTTGGAAGACTTTTGCTTCAGGGGTAATAAGTTACAAGGACTAGTTCCTTCTCCACCAGGTTCTATGAAGTTTTACGATATCTCAGATAATCTGTTGACTGGAGTTATTCCCAGGCAAATTTGCAATGCAAAGTCTCTAATTTCCCTTGATTTGTCTGGCAACAACATGACCGGACAGATACCAGATTGCGTGGGTCAGCTTGGTGAATCTCTACAGCTTCTGAACCTGCGAGGTAACAATCTCCGTGACACAATTTCCATAAAATTTTCAAGATACTGCAAACTGAAGATGATCAACTTGAGTCAAATCAATTGGGAGGTGAGCTTCCAAGGTCACTTGCAAACTGTAAAATGCTTGAGGTACTTGATGTTGGAAGAAATCAAATTAATGATTCTTTTCCATCATGGTTAGGAATTCTCCCAAAGTTGCAAGTTCTTGTCCTGAGCCATAATAAATTTTTTGGAGGCATAATGCATCCGAAACCTTACCTCGATTTCCGCTTCTTGCGCATTATTGACCTATCCCACAATCTTCATACAGGTCATTTACCATCAAGGTACTTTCAAAATTGGCATGCAATGAGAGATTCAGAAGAAGAACAATCAGGTTCATACAATACTCTGATTACTTTCTACTTTAAGGTGGGAACAGATTTAGTAATTTCTGAACAGAATTTCGAGTACTCGATCACCATAACAAACAAAGGCAACGAAATTCTTTACCCAAAGGTTCTTAAAGTCTTTAGGGTCATTGATTTATCAAGTAATAGCTTCACGGGCAGGATACCAGATGTCGTTGGGGATCTCAAGGGGCTTCAAGCACTCAACTTGTCCAACAATAATCTTGAAGGTAGAATTCCACCCTCTCTAGCCAACATAACAGACCTTGAATCACTAGATCTTTCTCTTAACAAACTCTCTGGTGCAATTCCTCCAGCACTATCACAATTGACATCACTAGAGGTGTTCAACATTTCCAATAATGAACATCTCATGGGCCCAGTACCACAAGGAAACCAATTCAATACCTTTGATGATACCTCATTCCAAGGGAACCCCGGGTTGTGTGGAAATTTATTATCCAAGAAGTGTGTAAATGAAGATGTGCCACTGCCACCGCCAACAGTGAATATTGAAGAGAGCAATGACGATTCTGAGTTAATTGATTGGGTCATCAGATCACTGGGTTGTATCAGTGGGACCATAGTTGGCTTTGTAGTTGGGAAAATCTACATCACTGACAAGTACCATGAATGGTTTATGGACACCTTCGGAAGGAGGAGGCCAACTAGGAGAGTTAGGAGAGCATAAAGACATAGACGAGAGAGTTCAGCTCTACATGTTATATACTAGTAATAAAGGGTATGGTTTGTGATGGAATATTGAAGTTCTTATGTAAATCTACTTCCTATGGTCTTAATATCACTAGCTTGTACATAGTTTGCTACATCAATAATAATATGGTACTTCATGAGAAAATTGCTGCTCACAAGGGTTTTCCTTTTTTGTAGTTAATAGGGGGAAAAAAAAAACCCTAGCCAGAATTAGCACTTTGCCTACTTTATCTGAATTTATCTTGCTCTGCATTACCCTTTCCCTTGAGAGGTAAAGTGAACTTATGCCACCATCCATTTTATGTGTGATCCTAAATCCTAACCAAAACCTTTGACAGCTGAAAAATAGGAGTAATATGGGCAATATAACCACAAGAAGATTACAATCTTCCTTGCATAGTAGAGGATCCAAGGTTATTCCTCCATTTAAAACAAGTTACTCTCAGCAAGGTGATATATTCTACTAAAAATGTCATTCCTGAATCCTGAAGCAGATTGAACCAGAGGCCAAACCTGCACAGCTAAATCTCTATTTGGGCCTGACTCGGAAGATTGAAGCAGTTTAAAAGCAAGTGATACTTGTTGGATAACGTTATGTGAAATCCAGAACCGCAAGTGAAAAACCAAGAGTAAGTATTGTGGGTCGAAAAAAGAATGATAAGAAAATATCAAAGCACAACGTAAAGGAGAGAATTTGGTTTATGCAGAGTCAAGGAATCAATGAAAATGGAAGTTTAGTAATGTAATCATACCTTTGCAACCTCATAATTCCATCAAAAGTGTTAGTTGGTACCAATGACTTCTTAGCACTGATAACTGATCACCATACGACTCTAAATTGCCAAATGACAATAGTAATCATCATCATATTGCCATAGGTTGACAAAATGTTGACAATTACTCATATAAAGAATATGTGCATTGTGATACATACTAGATGCTTTCGTACAAAATGATACACACTCCATGACAAGTACTTTCTGGCAAAACATGATACATATCAGGTGCTTTCCAATAAATGTTCCCTTGTGTTATATAATATGAGTATCACACTAATAAAGAATACCCGTATGTTAGCAATCTTAGCATGCTACACATGAGAACAGAGCAAATGAACAATCACTTCAATTCAATAGGCAATGTAGAGGAGGGGGGAAATATGAGCTATTACTAAATCGAACTAATACAAATACTTTAGATTGTTTAGAATAGTCAGCAATTTATATCAAAAGCCACTAACACAAATTTTGACAAAGTTCATTCAAAGCAGGATAATCAAATATTATTCCAAAAAAATTAAAACAAAAATGAAAATAGGAAGAGAATATACCAGGATGTGGGATTAACAACCCCAACCATCAAAATTGAGTTAATGGCTCTGAAATCCCTTTTCTTCTCCTCCAATTATTGGGCTTTCCTCCAATGAATCTAAAACCCTAGAAAAATTGAATTCTTGAAATTCATAAAACTTCTATGGATATGCAAGATTATGATAACAATAAAATTGAAAATTACCTCAGAAATAATCAAGATATATACAACTGATGCTCAGTCGCTCAGATCCTGGCTGCAGCAATTTTTCGCTATATTCAGCAATCTTTAAGGTTTTTAAACTTTATATTATTTGTGTCACGCCCATAGTTCCATCTATCCTAGTGAAAAAGAAAAAGAAAAAAAAAGTTGGTGTGCATTTTATTTTTTTTCTTTTTTGAATAAGAAAAAAAAATGTAGTAGCCCAACTTGGAAATAATACGTAATTTTAAAAAAAAAAAAAAAAAAAAAAAAATTTGGTGTCATTGGCAATTTAAGAATTGCACAAAATAAATTGGATAGACATAAAAGGAAAGTGAGCAAACTAGATTGAAACAGTAGGAGTAAAATGCTATTAACAATGCTACAGAAAAGCTTTGGACAATAAATAAAACAAACAATAAAGAAGTTTGTTGAATGTACTGCTCCATAGTACTTGATAGTAGATGTTATAATTACTTCCATTCCACAATTATTAGTTAAGCTGCGTTTATATTCACCTAATTTTCTGTTAATTAATTTTATTTAATTTAAACTATGTAAGTTGTAAGTTGAATTTGGATAGCTCTTGTCTGAACTTGATTTACCTTCTGGTTCTTTTCACCTGTCCACCTAGTTTAGGAAGATAGTTCAGATTAGGGTAATAAATACATTTCAGATAAGTTTTTACAAGAATTGATAGGGGCTGCCTAAATTTAATTTATAACCAAAAAAAAAAAAAAATGTTTTCTATGCATACTCTGCTCTTGTACTGACTGATTTTTCTACAAGCAACTCATTATTCTAGACTCGTACACTCAAGCTCTTGCAGAATTACCAGGTGAGTTCCACTTAGTTCTTACAGTATATATAGATATAATTTGAAATAAAATATGGAACTGTAATATTGAAGAATTTAACGGGGTTCTTTCTCATTGAAAAGCAAGTAATCAAACAGCATATGTTATACAACAGCTTTAAATATTTCAGATACTGCAGACACTCAACTCGCATTCATCTAAATTATCTCTTATCCCAAAATTTACAAAAACCCCCCATTGAAGGCTTCCTAACCCCTCAACCCCAAGGGGGAAAAAAAATGACTGCCGGAAACCAAAGATGGAGACATGCTTAAATCATCAATCAGTGCCTTCTTTATCTAGGCTGCAAATATGTAGCTAAATTATCTCTCATGGTACCCCCTGAGGTATCAACAAGCTTGCACGATTGCCCTTCATAACCCAAGTCATGGTGACCAGGAATAGCAATATCAGAGAGCAATTTATCACCACAATCAATCATAATGTTGTGGAGTAAACAACAGGCTAAGATTATGCTGGGTAGCTTACTCTTATCGGGCCTCCACATGACCTTGCTAAGAATTCTCCAACTTCCCTTCAAATATGATAATGCCCTCACTGCCAAATACCTTGCAGCCTCATGTGCCTCCCTATATTTTGAGTTAACGGGGGTAGAATCTTGATTTTCATAAGGGATCATGAGCCATGGATGAAGAGGGTAGTCAACTCCACCGACAATGTACTCTCTGATCTCTACATCATTTAACCTCAATTTTTTACTTAATCGCTCTCCATTTTCACACAACTTATAAAACCCAGAACACTTCAAAAATCTAGACACCGTCATTGCCCCAGGCCAACCAGTAACAACATCAAGAAACCGTATTTCATCATCAACAATTCCCTGAAGCAACATGCTATAATTATTGGCTTCATCACACCAGTCATCTGATGTTTGAACTGCCGGTAGGGTCATAAGAACATGAGTAGCATCTACCGCACCACAACAATTGGGCAACCCAAACAAACTTTGAAACTTTGATTTGATCTCCTCCAACCGATCCTGATCAGGTCACTTAATATGGTGCTTAGCACGAACCTCCAATGACTCAATAAATCTCCAAGTGACCTGAGAAACAGTGGACTGACCAACCCCAAATGAGGCACCCACGGAAACCTGTGAATCACCAGAAGCCAACCTCCTCATTGCAATTGCAACCTGTTTCTCAACACTTAAGAGCCTCCCCTCAATGTTGATCAACCCCGAGGGTGGTCTCGATATCAAGTCCTCTCTAACAAGTGAACATATATACTCAAAAGTCTTTTTTGACACCCTAAAGAAAAACTTGAATGCCTCCTCTTCATCACTAGGTATGGTAAAACCTGAAAGATTCCCAAATAACAAATTTTCTAGTCACTTTACCAACATTTTGGTAATTCAATCAACTAGTGCCATTTCCATATTACATCTTGAATAAATCTACTATTCTACACCCTCTCAAATTCTCCAACACGAGCACACGGGGAGGAGAACGTTTGTGGGTGTAAATTATATATCAAATCCCCGGGTGTACAATTAACACCCTATTACCCTTCATTATAGCTAAATAGTTTTCAATTTTTCATAGACAATCAACAACAACAACAACAACAACAATAATAATAAAGCAAAAATACAAACATGCCCATTTTCAGCTAGAACTCCAATAACATTAACAAAATAAAATTAAAAGCAATTCAGAAATCAAACAAAGGAATTCCCAAAATTAACAAAATCCCAGGTAAATATACATCAACAAATTGCAATTTCATGACAGAAAAATCGCAAAAATTAACTATAAAAAAAGAAAATTGTTTACCTGGGGAGGAGGAGACTTTGTGGAGAAAACTATCCCACCAATCAGACTCAATGGGTCTGGGTTCAATTGGAACAACATTCACTGTTTTTGTTTTCTTCTTTAACTTCTTCAAATCTTTCTTCTTTGATTTCTTCTTCAGAGGAGCCATAATTTGAAATGGCAAACACTTGCAGATGGGATTAATTCAACGAAATTGCGATTGACACCCAGAAATTTCTGTAATTTTGGAAAATTAATGGGAGATAAAACGAATTTAGGAAGAACCCTAGTAACTGAATTCTGAAGTATGAAGAAGAGGAGTGCTTAATCTTTTTTTTAGGAGTGCTTAATCTCTGCCACTTTGAAATTGTTTTTTTTTTTTCTTTTTCTTTTTTTGGAAACTCCACTTTGAATTTGGGCGAATTGGGTCGTATGAACAATGTGTGGAGGACTGAAGGGTTTAGACCAATAATAATACAAAAGAAAATTGGATGTTTTTATTTAAGGTTGATAATTAGATAAAATAATGATTTATTAAGGCTATAAATAAGTATTTACTCATAAAATACTCAGTTTAGGATTGTACGAAGTATAACAATGTGTAATTAATTATTATTTTCATAGATTATTTTACTTTTTAGCTTTTTATATAATACCTCTATTCTAAATTAGACATACGTTTTCTTACCATGTGTGCTGACGCACAAATTCTACCGTTAATATCCTTAATTGTCAATATATAAATTTGATATTTTGAACAAAAAAAAAAAACATTAAGAGAATTTCAACAAGAGTTTATATGACTATATTTTTTCTTATCAACGTATAAATCACAAAAATTAGTTAAAGTAGAGTTTGTGAATAGTGTCAAAAGTCAAAACGTGTCATTTAATTTGAAACGAAGGAAATATAATTCTACATTTTGAGTACTGCCACTAAAAGTACTTCAAATCGCAAATATTGATATACTTAAGTCAAGTAAACGTTGAATAGTTACA